AAATACAGTCCAAGGGAGATGCTGATCATGATAAGCAAGGGGGAATAGGATATTATTAACCACGAAAGTGTTTCCTGACTCTGCAAGCGAACATTCTCTTTGATTCTTGACCTTCTTGAGCATTTAATAGCATGAAGAAATACTTTGGATGGAATATTGCAAAAAATTATTTAATGCAATCTAACACTCATTTTTAATTTGATAAATGTTCACATGTCACTGCAATCGACAGTTTTTTCCGTTTTGTGAACCGACATTAAGTCAAATACACTTCTCTTCTTGTATTCTGCACTCAGAAACTGCCTTCCTTTTTTCACTAAAATTCGATTAACCCATGAAAATATTATTTTTACAATTTATGATTTACCCATGAAAATATTATTTTTACATGTAACTTCAAAAATAAAAAAGGAAAAATTAACTTAATCAACAGTAATTAAGCTTGTCAATGTTATGATAAAAGGAAGGCACGAGTAATTTGATGACGCGACAGTGGTATTCTTATCAGTACGAAACACACTTCACGGAGAAAAGTCTGTTACGTTAGTTTAAAACCATGGATCTCAAGAGCTCCTTTTGATCAGAGGATTTGCCTTGTGGGGGGCAAGGTGTTGGCTAAAGGATTTGCCCCTTGTTGTCCTGTTCACGAGACATTGAACTGCATCTCAGCAGTCTTGGTTTGGGGAGCAAGTGTAGCACTACAGGTTCCAAGATCTCCGAGGTCGACTTGATACTTAACCGAGCAGGTAAATTTGCTGTCCGCGAAGATGAGAAGGGAGCTATGATGGTTTGTCCCAGACATCGCAAGAGCTTAACAACACACTGGTTAGGCCGAAAAAGGACTACTTGTTGCTACCCAAATCATAAAGGCGAGGGAAAGGGCAATGTGCAGACGAAACGAGCAAATGCTCAATTATCACAAGAAATTTTTGACTTGTTTGACACTGTTGTTCCCATCGGTTCAGGTGAGTTCTGTGTCAGGATACTTACTTTACGGAAGACTTATTTGATAACTATAAACAATGTTACATTTACATTTACGGTAAACAGAACCAAACGTTTTAGTCTGGCCAGTGCGAAATTTGGAACTGGAAAAGGTTACAATCTGGAATCCGGAATTTGGAATTGAAAAAACAGTAAACCAAAATAGAAAAGCGAACACATAGGAAGAGAAATTTACAAAGTGAATAAATAAAGTGAAAAGTGAAAAAAAATCAAACAAACAAAAGGCAGGTTTTGTTAAATAAAGGACTCTGAAAGACAAATCTTGCAGTCATTATTCAGTTACTGTCGCTTAACTCCTATCACAGAGAGCAAATTAAACATCTTTTCTGTAACTTGTTTAAAGTTTAAAAAAGCTGCTAACTCTGTGGAATTTAGACTAAACACAGAAAATCAGACAACAGTTTTACATGCATCTCCAACATATGATATTTTAAGAGCAGAAGGTACAAATTTTCTTTTGTAGAGTCTATACATTTCCTACAAAATAGAGAGCAAAGTTGGCTAGTTCGGGTTCGCTTTCGTTGTATGAGTGGGCAAGTCAATATTGTAGAGCTAGTCTTCATTGTGTCTACCATATTCGTCATAAGCTCTGTTTATCTGCTTCTGAGCATCTTAGTGTTGGTGCTGTGTGTA